TCTCCGGGTGCTCCGGTTTCCTCCCACAGACCAAAAACATGCATGTTAGGCTGATTGGTAACTCTAAATTGTCCCTAGGTGTGAGTGAGAGAGTGAATGGTTGTTTGTCTCGTTTGTCTCTATGTGGCCCTGTGATGGACTTGCGACCTGTCCAGGGTGTACCCCGCCCCTCGCACAGTGATTGCTGGACATGGGCACCAGCGCTGGACATGGGCACCAGCGACCCCCGTGACCCAAAATGGAATAAGCGGGTCAAGAAAATGGATGGACAATATGCAGAGAAAACATGAGGATTACACATATTTAATTCATATTACCAACAAAGAGAATAGCATGTAGCTAACTTAACTACAGCATGTGTCACTAACAGACACTATGAACAAAGCATGTACAGCACAGTGGATAACAGCAGACATACATGAAGTAATTAGATGTAGATTAGCTGCACATAAAGTTAACATCATGCAGTAAATAAATATAAACTACACATGTGGATGCCCAAATAATTCAAGTTACTACAACTTGTCAATAATGCACACATTCAGGAAAACAGGCATTAGCAGACAGCAGCATCCCATATGCTCGTCTCTTATAGCCAACTCACTCATATGCAAGCAAGGCATTACTAGTGGCAGGACCATGCTGTCACTATAGTTCGACTATTCTATAGCATTTTTTTGTCCTTTACAGGATGCCAAACAGAGAATAATGACAATGTAATGGCATTAATACAAATGGTAAACAAACTTGGATACAACTTAAGGCATTCATGTAGGTTCTTTCATACAGTGATGTCACTGTGGTGATGTTGGTAATGAAATTATAGTTCTTGAATAAGTACATTTCTATATCGTAGCATCTTTTCTTTCTATTTCCTTCTCCTGGATCCCCATTTTTAGACTTGTGGCCTCCATCTTCAGAGCTTCATACTCCTGCTGTTGTGCTTGTGCTCCAGCATCCAGCTCAAGTCTCTGCAGAATCGGTGTTGTATTGTGAGCAGTGATGACACATGACCTTATGTGTGATTTGTGGTGGGGGTATTTTCCACTCTGCAGGAGGCAGTCTTCACTCACTGTCAGGATAGTTGGTTGGTTGATCGTTTGTTTTCCCTCCATTAATTGAGAATTAAGTGCATTGGCACTTATTCTTAACCTTGTTTTTTTTTTTATCCCTTTCTATCCTTGAGTTCCAGACAGCTGCATTGGTTTCTTTACAAGACCTGGATCTGGTATTAGGGATAACTGAATTGAAAGCTGCTGAACAAAACTAATCTTAATCTGCTCATTTGTGTGAACTCTCTATTTATGTCATGGGCAGAGCTGGTTCATAGCAGTGTGTCCTGTATCTTCCCTGGGGTCTTCTTCCAGTTGGCCACATGCCTGGAAAACCTATCTAGGGAGATATCCAGATGGCATCCTTACCAAATGTCTGAGCCACCTCAACTGGCTCTTCTTAATGTGGAGGAGCAGCAGCTCTACGTAGTCTTATCTAAATATCTGACTTTCTCACCCTATTTCAAAAGGAGAGTCCAGCCATCATGTGGAGAAAACTCATTTGGTGACCACTTGGTTTCACAATCTTGTAAGGTTACAAACTGTTTGTAACCATAGGTGAAAATAGGAATGGTGACTGACAAATAAATAGAGCTTCACCTTGCAGTTTAGCTTCCTCTTCACCACAACAGACTGGCGCAAAGTTTGCAATACTGCAGAGCTGCGCTGAACCATCTTCCAGTCTTAAGCTCTATTATTGTCGCATTGAAAAGAAACCCAAACAGGACTCCAGCCAGCCATTAGGTGAAAAGGAGGAACCCAGACCCAGACCAGTGGTCATTCTGTATGTTGCAGGAGTTTCAGAGGAACAGAGACATTTATTTCCTAAACATGACATCCGAGTGGCTTTCAAACCCCCAAATACATTAAAGCAAAGACTGGTTCATCCCAAAGGTCCAGTCCCCCAGCACAAACAGAGTAATATTGTATGTGGTGGTATTATAAGTGCAAGACAGGCTGTGATCAGTCTTATAATGAGGAAACTAAACAGCCACTAGCCAAAAGGATGGCCCAGCACAGAAGATCAACATCATCAGGCCAGGACTCTGCAGTCTACACTCATCTCCAGGCCAGCGGTCACTCTTTCAGAGATCAAGATGTTCACATCCTGGACAGAGAGGAACAATGATTTGAGAGAGGAGAAAAGGAGGCCATCTTTGTGAAGAGAAACCGTCCATTATTAAACAGGGGCAGAGGTCTCCGTGTCCAACTGTCCCCTTCTTACAAAGCTGTTATTGCTAGTATCACTCAGCCCTCTGTGAATAGCAAGCGGCCGTCAGAGCACTAACGATCCATCATTAGGCTGATGGTCCTCCTTGATCATGTGAACAGCTAGTTCTGGCTGTCACCAGCAAACTGATTGATCCACTATGAAGAAGGGGCTATTTATAAGACTGAGTTTAGTGCCGCTCCTTAGACTGGCAAAGTCTTTTGGATAAAAGATGAAACGTTTCAACTATTTTCTTTATTTTTCAAACATAGAGGACCTGACTTAACTTCGTTAGATTTGTCAACCTGGATTATTGAGCATGCGTCAGGATATTTGAAGTTTAGTTTTAATATGAGGAGGTTAGGTGTTGGACTGACTTCTGATTCCTCAAAGGCAACTTCTGACCCTCATGTGCCCTAGTAATCAGACACTGAGGTAAACTAAAAGAAGCATAGTAAAAGTTTTTGACTTAGTGCAGACTCACTTAACATGCTCATCAAGTTTTCTTGAAACCTCAGTGTTTTGCAGGACCTGATCATTTCAAAGAAAGCTAGAATTATGTGATTTAATTTAAAAAAAATTCAAGTTAGGAAGAAGGAAGGGAAGTTTCACAGGAGCTGTCAAGAGGTATTTGAGAAGGGCCAAATTCAGATACTAATGATGGTAAATTGAGCTCAGATCTGTGTGGAAGAAACAACCTGGGAAGAATATATATAATTTTTAACATTTCTTTCTTTGAAAAGGGGAAACTGAAAATTTTTCACAGCTGTTCACAATTTTACTCATACCTAAAGACAATTTAGAGCCAGTTAGCCTAACATGAATATTTTTGCTCTTTGGGAGGAAAATCAGAATACCCTCAGAGTAGAGTAAACCCCCGTGTGCTCAAGGAGAACATGCAAACTCCACATACAAAGGCTGGGAGGTGCAGCTGCTCTAATACCTACCACCAAGTTTATTATGAAATTGAAACGTGCCTACAACATATGTTTAAAACATATGGAGATCGTAAATTGTTATTTTAGTGTGGTCTGCACACATTAACCTGTCAATTAACAAAACATGTTAAACAAACCACAAACAGCATAATGGATTAGTGTTTAGCACTGTTGCTGGGGTTTTCCTGTGTGGAGTCTACATGTTCACTCAATGCACAGGTATCACTATTCTTATTAGAACAAACAATATTATTTCTTAATTTGAAAGCTCACAAATTTAGCTGCATAGCAAAGCACATTAAATACTACTACTATAAATAACAACAACACTTAGCGGAAAAGGGTGGATTGCTATCTTCGGGTCGAGGGTGAGGTTCTGCCTCAAGTGGAGGAGCTCAAGTATCTCTGGGTTTTGTTCACAAGTGAGGGAAGAATGGAGCGTGAGATTGACAAACGGATTGGTGCAGCATCTGCAGTATTGAGGACTCTGTACCGGTCCGTTGTGGTGAAGAGTGAGCTGAGCTGTAAGGCAAAGCTCTCAGTTTACCAGTTGGTTTATGTTCTTACCCTCACCTATGGTCATGAGCTCTGGGTAGTGACTGAAAGAATGAG